AGAATTTTCGCCCCTTACTCTAGAACTGTTATAGTATCTTCTTCCCTCAGTCAAGAAAAACTAATAAAACTGGTATCTTTGAAAGGGAAAAGTTCCAGAAACTAAGAAGATCCCTCTCCCTTTCCTTTTTTCCTTTCTCTAGGTGCTGGCTTGTCTGTTGACAGTCAGTTCCATATGCTCTCCCCTGTATGTGAAAGGCCGGAAGCCTGGGAACTACATTTCCCAGAATACAAAGCCAGTGAATATCTCAGTTTAGGTTCTGCCAGTGCCACACAATTGTGGGAGATGAAGAGGGCAGAAGGAAGCAGGGGCTGTACTCTTCCTCTAGCAGCAGATTTGAGATTTGAGATTTTGCAGTGGCCTCTGGTGACATTCCACAGATCATTGGCCTTAGGAGACAGTTTCCAGAAATCCCTGACCTATGTGGCTGTAATTTCCTAAAAATTAGCTGCAAACCTGAGAGCTAACTATTGGCTTCCCTTTGTTCCCTCTAGCCTTTCCAACTGTTTTATAAGCATTGAATTGCCTGTTTTAAATACCTTCATGATTCGCATAGCCAGAATGGTTTCTGTTTTTCTGACTGAAGACTGAGTGATATGTTCCATCTCCTAGATTTGCATAAACCTGTGGTCAGGCATTCACCTAAGCAAAACAGAAAACAAACAAATAAGTCTAGTTTAGATTATCAGTATCAGATCCCCCACCCATAAAATATAAAATGTTTTAAACCCAAAAAGTAGCCTGTTTATATGATTTATTTTTCTTGCCCAGGTCTTGGAGAGTTCTATATCAAGAATTGTTCTACAGAGGCCAGATCTAAAAAATACACCACCAGTATCACCAGTGTTCCAATGGAATACCTTCAGGATGGCTACAGTGATAAGTTCATGTCCATCCTTAATATTTTCAGCTCCCTTTTGCTTTAGTTTCCATATTTGTGTATATGTTTACGGTTTTATTCATTCTCATAAGTGGAGGGGCTTTTTTTTGGCGGGGGGAGGGCTTTCCCAGCACCTAGAAAATATTCAAAAGATGTAGGTTACATTTAAGTAAAATAAAGGCATAGTTTTCTACTTGCCTTGGTGGAGTAAACAGCAGCTTACACGTTTCAAATTTAAGTTTACTGTTAGCAAATATAAGCAGATCATCAAGCCTCTTAGGTTCTCCATATGGGTTATCAGTTCCATTTTATACTAGAAATCCTTTCTCCCCTGTATTGATGATGGATTTATGATGACAGGTTTCACACCTGCCTCAAACTCATAGATTTTAGATTGTCTCCCTAGTTGATGCTTATGCATATTAAGGCTTAAGAACCACTGCAAAAATGAGAAAAGAGCTTCTTTGCTTTGAAATCCCTATGCAAGGAATAAGCTGTAAAGAATCCAAAGACTTGGGGCTCTTTCCAGGATTCCCATCTAAGAGATGATGCATAGGATCAGAATTTTGGAGCTGGAAAGGTCCTTACAGATCATTCAATTTAAGCCTCTCATTTAAGAGATCAGCAATCATTATCTACAGTTTCATAGACAGTTTAGAGCAGAACAGAAATCAGAACCCAGGTATTTTGAATTTCAATCCAGTGCTTTCTTTAACATGGTCATCATATACGCTTGAGTGAGTGGTGAACAACACTACACATGCCAGTCACCTGTGGACAGGCATATATGCTAACACAGTTTTCTAGCAGGTAGCAGTAAAGTTTTTCCAATAGATGCAAAAATGTCTTGAGGAAGAGACACCATTTTCTAATACACACAAAGATGTAACATGGACTTGTGGCAGGAATCCTCTCCCTTTTTTTTTCAATATACCTTATTATTAATGTACAATGTACAGGTTCTCAATAACAAATACAGTACAGGCGCATTTTACGAAAATTTGAATTGTTCAAAGTTGAAGTTGCTGATATAGAAAAATATTATGAACGTTTGCTGCATAAAATTGCAACTCTCTAAAAAGTTGTCAAGAACTGCAAATTCCAAGTCTGGCTGGCCCAGGGAATTGCAAACTGTGTTCATGGATTGTCATACAGAGGTGCTAGATCACATAGTATGACATGACCCACACTTTTATTGATATGACTGGAATGTCCACATGTGATTTCAGTGACTGTTGTGCTATTGTTTGCACTATAAACCTTTAACTCAGAAGTTATAGGTGATATAACACTCTGAACCCCTAAAAACTGGCATTAATAGCTTGCCATCTGTTAATTTAGGACAGAACACACTCTAAAAAGCATTGAAGAGAATGGTGTGAAGATAAAATATAGCATTAGGGCAAAACAAAACAAAACAAAACAAAAAACCCACACACACCACAACAGTATCTCCCATCTAATATTCATTTCTCTGTGAAAAGTAGTCTTAAATTATGAGTATTTTAAATTATGTGATGTGTTTAGGAGAGCATCCTTCGCACAGAATGCAACTTTCCTTACTTTAAAATTTTTTCGTGTGTCTACATGATTCTAACCCCAACTTCTATGCCTGAAAGACAATGGGTAAAACTGGAAGGAGCCCCGGGGGTTCCAATTCAACATCACATTTAGTGGTCCACAAAGGGGATTAATTCTTTCTCTGTTAAGCTTCCTAGAAGTCAGATCTGTTTTTGCACGTTTTTAATTCTTTTTAGTACACAGTGAAATGCATCATGATGTAGGTTATTTTTCCTCTGGTATGACCAGGGCTTGAGTCTCTAAGTCACCTTCACGGATATCTTCACAGGGTTTATCTTCATTATACCTATTCAACTAATTAAAAAAGAGAGCCAAGTAATCTTATTGCCTCCCCCTCAGAATGATTAGAGGATTAATGAGCCAATAAGCACAAAACACTTTCAACCTCATGTTTCCACAAACCTGGAGCATGGCACACCCTGTGGTCTATGTGGGTGACACCTGCGGATGAAGAGAGCTGCACCCTGTGCCACCTGATGTTCTGGCTGCTGACTCCCCTGGTCCTTGGTCCTGGACCATTCAACCATGGTCTGAACACGTGCTCCACCTGCCAGTGAAGCTGGGGCACCAAAATTTCTGAATTTTGATTTTTTAGTATTTATAAAAAGCTTCTAAGTGCTAGTTATAAAGGAAAATTAGAATTTTGTCAGAGGGTTACATTTATTTTATGGTTTAGTATTGTTTTTATTTGGAATTATGCAAATGGGGGCAGGGTGCCATGACGATTTCCATGCTTAGGGCTTCTAAAGGTTAACAAACTGACTCCAAGTCTGCTACCCACTTGGAAAAAACATTCACCAAAAAATTTCAACAGCTTGTTTCCCAGAAGTTCTTCTTTCCAAGCAGGCTGTCTTCATGAAGGACTGAAGTCTCTTACCATACAGATTTGTTAGAACACCTTGGACAGTGCTATAAACCTAATAAGAAAATGAAATCTCATTTAGCATGGGAGTAGCCCATGCTTTGATTCAAAGTTTGAAGAGGTCTTTGATTCAAGGTCTCAGTATTAGCTTGGGATCTTACAATCTAAGGAGGAAAATTATTTCTTCTTTTTGTTTTTTTCCAATTAAGGACTAGGTTTATTCAGTGAGCTCCGTGACCCCTGGCACTTGTCATTTCTAAATATACCTGACTTCTCTATTCTTGCATCCTCACTGAGATATGTGTGTGCATTAAAAACAAAAGCTATATATTTCTACCCTGAGTTTCCACACTTTGGACCCCCTCCAGACACCATTCTGAATATGGCACTCTGCTACAGGATACTAAAAATGTTTCTTTCCTCAAAATAAAACCTGTAAAGATCCCTTAGTAGCTATTTGGGGACTGGAATTCAATTTCAATTCTCTACCCTTTGGCCAATTGTAGATTCAAAATGCTTACATAAAACATTGAGAGTATGTACTTCATGGCAAATCTGATTTTTCTTCTGCAATAGAAATGTGTGCTATAGTTACCACAAACTATATTTTTACTTAGAAAATACACAAAGCAATGATGCACCTCAACAAGAGAGAACAGATCTTTTTAAATTTTATTTTATCGGTAGCTTTGATATAAGCTTCAGATAGACCCACTGACTACACAGAGTTTGTGAAATCTACACTTTCAAATCATAATATTCTCTATTTTAGGCTATTATATCTAAAAGCATGACTTCTCAAATCCTTTTATTACAAGTAGTTCTTGCACATAAATGTTACATCACAATAGCAAAAAAATGTAAACTTCTTTTGCAAACTACATAAATACTATAATATCTGCCTTGAAGTTATTCTTATTTTAAATCAGAATATACTCTAAATGCTTGACATAGAAAACTTTGGTCAGTAGCCTATATGTATAAAACATTATTTTTCTTTCTTACTGACTTGCCTTCCATGTTGCCAACTTAGGTCTTTGAAGGAGAAAAATTCAAAACAGAACCCAGATCAAAATTCAGTTCACAAGCAAAACAAGTACTAGAAGTATATTGATAACCTTGGGCAAAATGAGATGTGAAATTATTCCACACACTAAATCCGACAAGCCACCAGTGGTATGGAGGTAACTGAAAAATAAGGAGTCAAGCTCATATTTGATTCTAATGGAAGGCATCAGCCTGCTTGTCAATACACCTCCTACTCTGCTGTATAAAAATGTCTATTTTCAAGTGAACACCTCTTTCTCTATTCTTTTAGAGCACAACAGGTCATATCTACAGCTGTAGTCCTAGACTGGAAAGTCTAGGTGGCCAGTGACTTTACTTCACCATTGCTGTCCTTAGAGTCTTTAAATACCAAGTTCGATTGCATAAATGTACACATGCATATACACACATGCGCATGCTTAGAGGACCACGTATCAAGGCCTTCTTCACTTCAAACAAGGTTTTGAATGTTTACCTTCTTTGTTGTTATTTTTTTTAAGTGTTTTTCCTCAGAACGTTCTTTCAGTTACAAAGTAAGTTTAATCTGGAGCCCTTACTGATTTATTCTTAGATTCCTATTGAACACCTAGCTACTGGCCATAGTTTCTTGGAGGAAAAACATACCGTTGCTGAAGCACTTCTAAAAATTTTAAATGCATGCAGAAAGAACTACATAGGCTTTCCAAGCAGCTACTTAAGGTGGCTCAAGTAACATTATTAATTATTTATTTGGGCCTAAGCCCTTTTAACAACATCTTTTTGAACCACAGAGAATGGCTCCGAGATGGGGGCCAGCCCCAAAGGCGCCCGGGCTGGCGGGCTCTACGCGGTCCCCAGCACAGCAAGCGGGAACCCACTGTCTCCTCCCTTTCTGTGCATTTCCTCTAAATGCATCGTGTCCTCTCTTTACTGCCCATGCTTTTAAACTGTGAAAAATTAAAACAAAAAGTCTAGCAGTGATTAATTCAGACCTCAAATAACACTGTGCATGGGCTTTGCTAGAGACAGGTAGCCATGCCTTCTTAATAGCTCTTTCCCCAGAGGAGGCCTGGCTGTGCGGAGAGGCGTCGGCGGCTCAGGAACTGCTTTTATTGCAGACCGTGCCTTGGCTTATACTGTCTTCCGTGTACTGGCTGCCCGTGTCGCTCCTGCTGAGGACCGTGGAGGGGACACGGGACGGGCGCCTCTCCGGGTTCTTCTCCTGAGAGAAGCAGCAGATCATCTTCTTCATGGTGCTGTACATGTCCTCGTCCTTGTACGAGTAGATGATGGGGTTCATGACGGAGTTGAGCAGCGCCAGCAGCAGGAACCACCGCTTCACGTGCTGCACGCCACAGTGCGTGCAGTTCAGCCCGTCGAGGAGCAGAACCACCAGGCCTGGCGTCCAGCACACCACGAACGCCCCTGGAGGAGAGAAGGGAAAGCAAGTGAGCTCAGACCTTAGGCTGCTTACTCAGCTTCTTCCCACCCAGCCTTCAGGCAGGGCTGTCAAGGGACCATACGCATTTGTTTTGACAACTGCGAGGCAAACTTACACCCTTCATCTGGGCGTCTGAGACCTGGGCTTGTTAGAGACAAACAGCTGGGAACCTCCTGGACTATCACACACGGTCTATTTCACTTTCTTATCTGCTTACCCAGGTCTCGCGATCACGAGGAGCTCCGATTTATCGCCTGCGTAGGAAGTAGTGCGCATGCGTGATCTGTCAGTTCTCTGAACCACAGAAGGAGGCTGCTGCAGTAATTATCCACATTTGACAGATGAGAAAACTGAGGCCCAATTCCAGGGGAACGTGTGGGGAGGCGTCTCTGACTCCGGGCCTTACATTTAACCCCACATTGTGCTGTTCTCTAAATCAGATTTTCTATTAATAAATGCTTTCTTGAAAGTTAAGACACACTGCGTGTATGGCATTCCGACCTAGTGGGTTAAACTAAGTCACTTGCTCAAAAATTTTATTCTTCATCAATCCATGTTGATGCTTAGTAAGCACCATATTCTCTTTGACACATTCACAGGCCATCTGCTTAATCATCTGCTCTAGATTTAGATTTTTTTGGTCAGAAATAAATCTTTCATGATGAGTTAGTTGGAAATGTGCTTTTTAGACACTGCAATTGAACATGAACAGTAGTTTCTTTGGAATCTCTAGCTATTGGATCATACTTATCTCATCTCTAGACTTCCAGATATTTTTCCCCTAAAATATAAGACATAGTTTCAGTATCCTCCTACTTAGTTATCATAACTGCAGATAACAGTAACATCTGACCTTTATGCAGTGCTCGCTCTTGAGCCAGACAATGATATAAACACTTTCCTTGATTAACTTATAGGACCACACTATAAGGTTAGCGTTATTATCATTCCCAGGAAACTGAGTCACAAGAGAAGTTAAGTAACTTGCCTGTGATTAAATATCTTTTAAGAGACACCTAATTTTGAACACAAGCAGTCTTTTCCCATAGGCTGTGCTCTTGGCCACTATGTGACCCGCCTCTGTAGTGTGATATGGTTGCTTTCTCCCAGCATCCTTATATCTCAATGCACTCGCTTATCCATTCAATAAATACTCATTTCAAGTTTATAATGTGCTGAGAACCGTACTAGACAGTGAAGGAGGTGAGGACCATCAACTCAGGGAGCTAAAATACTAACAGATGAGACGATAAACAAGCAAATCTATAAACCATGTCACCAACTAGTTACTCTTAGTGATTAGAATTAGTGCTGGACAGTCTTTCTCTTGTTGCTTCATCTTCCTTCTGAGAGATATAATACTAAGCAAGGCAAATCAAGGATTACAGACATGTGGTATAAGGTAGGGAAGTGCCATGAGCTCTGGGGCCAGACCCGAATCAGGCAAAGTACGTCACTTCTCTGAGCCTCCAATCCCTGCTTTATAACATCGAGATAATAAACCCGACTGTGTAGGGTGTTTGTGAGGATCAGAGGTGATGGAAGTGGTGCCCAATGCTGTGCTGGGGTCACTAAGCAGTAATTATCATGAGAAGTATGATGTTTCCCCCAAAATTAGATATCTAGGAGATAGCAGGAAGGTTTAATTCTCCATTCCATAACTACAGGTCACCAATGGCTCCCTTTTTCCTCCATCTTGTATTATTTTTGGTCTGGCTGACATATGTGAATAAAGAACTGGACTTGGATTTGAGAGATCAGAGATTCAGGTCCTAACTCTTTACTTCCTGAACAACTCTGGGAGACCCATGTCACAACTCTGGGCTTTGGCTTCCTCAGCTGTAAATTGAGGACTTTAGGGTAGGTCTAGGTTTTTCAAACTGTGGGTCAGAGCCCCTTAGTTAATGTGCAATCAATTTAATGAGCTAAGACCAGTTTTTCGTTTTAAATGAAAGAATAGAATGCAATAGCTCAGAGTGCATTACACAGATTAAGTGAAGTATTGTTTCATGAAAGTTTTGTTTCAGTTTTATAAACTATGTTTACATGTGAGTTGGCTATGAAGTAAAGTATATTTCTTACTGTTGGGCTTGGTCAAAAAGTTTGGAAAACACTAGTTTAGATAATCCTTAAGGCCCCATCCAGCTCCAGTGGCCTGTATTTCCCATAACTAAAACACTTTTGTTCTCTTTGCTTCCCAAGAGAGGGTTAGTACGTTGTCAGGAAAGAAGAATGAAACAAGCCAGACAGCAAAAGCTGTAACTACGAAAGTTTCTATATGAAATCCCGTAATTTCAAAGAAATCTCAGTGGGAGTGTTCCAAGGTCCTCATGGTAACGGGAAGGAGGGAAAAACACTCAATAACTCTATGCTTTGTTAAATGCAAAGCTGAAATTTAAGAGTCTATAACTTCCAAACCAATGGAAAAATGGAACTAAAGGAAAGGAAAAAAAGATCTCAGTACAAAAGAAAGCAGGGTGAAAATAGTGAAACATAGACAAAATGGGACAGATAAAAAACAAAATAAGATGCTAGAAATGAATCCAAACATATTGATAACCAAAGTCAATGTAAAATGGTGATATAGTTTTAAGAAACAGGCGAATCTAAACAATAAGATGTGTAACATTACATCCATATATGGTAAAACCATGAGAAAAAGCAAAAAGATGATTAACACAAAATTGATGATACAGTTATCTCTACAGGAGAGAGGCCACCTGGGTGGCACTAGAAGGCTCTAAAGATATTGGTAATGTTCTATGAAATTGGGTGGCAAGCATACAGATATTCTTATTTTTTTATTCTTTTATGTATTAGTCTTTAAGGTCTACACATATTTTATATAGCTTTGTTTGAATGATATAGAATACACACAACCCAAAAACACATTAAAAAAGGATAAAAAATAAATTGTCAATTTTTTCCTAAAACTCTACTCCCCTTTTTTCAGATGTGATTTTTTTTTTTAATCATGAATTTTTTTTCCCCAGCATGAAACTCTGGCTTGAATTAATCAGGTGACCTAAACACTCTAAACAAATCTTCAAATTGATGCTCTGTTTTTCATAATATGGTAATTCATATATATTTTCCCTTTGCATTGAATTATATAAAATAATCATTCAATTAAAACTTGACAAACTTTTTATTGAGCAATGATTATGTGTCAAGTTCAGTTCTAAGCATTTTATATGAATTGATCCACTTAATCTATATTACAACCCTTGGTTGGAAATAGGTCCTAATATTACACTCATTTTAAACTTGAGACCACTGAGACACAGAGAAGTTAGGTGACATGTTCAAAGGTACACAACTGGTAAGTGGCAGGGCCAGGATTTGAACCCAGGCAGCCTGGCACCAAAGCCTGTGCTCCTGTCCTTATGCTAGGCTGCTTAGCCATGGGTCACAAGCATCTTACTACTAAAGTGAGTAAAGGGTGAGGCAGGGGGTGCTTCTGGACTTTAAAGTCCCCTCTATAGTATGTCATATCTGACTATGAAGCTGCATTTATCATGTCATTCTTTGGTTTGCAAATAGAAGGATTTTCTGGGAAGACAAGGGAAAAAGGAAGGGGGGAAGGGAAGGAAAGAGAGGAAAGGAGAGGAAAAGAAGGAGAAGGAGAATAGGGAAGGAAGTGAGGGAGAGAGGAAGAGGGAGAGGGAGAGAGGATGGGAGAATGGAAGGATGGATGGGAGGGAGAAATCCAACAAAAATATTGGCTGGCCATAGGGTAAGAAGAGAAATAAAAAATCTTCTGCCCTTATCTTTATACTATTTCCAATGAACAAACAAAAGTGAGTGTTCTTTGACAGAATACACCAGGCTGCTAACCTGGACAGTGGGTTCTTCAGAGATGTTGCCTTGAGTAGATGGTCACACTGCCTGGCAGTGACCCTGGGAAACATGCCAATCCGAGACTCCTCTGCCAGGAGGCCTCTGCCTGGCTCCACACACACCTCAGAATGGATGCACAGCTTATCCAACAGCTCATTCTTTGGGTGTTGTTACTGTACGTCAGCACTTAGACATAAACACTCCCCCCCCTCCAAAAACACAAACATAAAAAGCCTTAAAAGGTGAAGAAAATGTCAGGAATGGTTTTGGCCCTGGGAATCCGTAATCTTGGAGACGTCTTAGAGAAAGTGGAGATGTCAGAAACATAAATGGGCAACTGTACTAATTCTAAAAACTGTACTAATTCTTAAAAGTGAGGGAGAGGGGGTATGTTTGTGACAGATCCTGGAAAATATATATTAGTCAATCCTCTATCAATCTTCCATAAATTCTAGAAGAGAAAATTAGAAGGAGTGTATTAGAAGGAGTATTTAGCCTCAGTGCTCAGACTATGACTGCTAGGAACCAGCAGGGTTCAAAAATGAGTTCATGCCAAGCCCAGATCACTTTTTTTTTTTTAAATCAGGCATTAATGAATAGGAGTGGGTCCAGAGGTGTCCATCTGGGAACCAGTGGAAGAAATTAGGTGTGTTTCTCCTGGAGAAAGGCTAAGGAAAAACATGATGTGCTATTAATTCTCTCCAAAAACCTGAAGGGCCATCATGTAGAGAGGAAGCACAGACTTATCCTGGCCCATTCCAGAGGGTCACTCAAAACAAATGGAAAAATACAAAGAGGCATAATTTGGATGTAAGATTTCTTTTTAAGTAAATAAAGGTATTTAAGTGAGGAATCCTCTGTTCAGCAGGCAGAGAGACTCCCTTGACCAGAGTAATTCCTTTGCCTGGATCACCCTGAGGTGTATAAAGGGAAGGGATTTTTCTGAAATGAAAGATAGGGCTAAGTGGTTTCTGAACTCTTTTCTAAATAGAAATTGCTAAATTCTGTGAAACTATGAGGCTGGGCACGGTGGCTCACGCCTGTAATCCTAGCACTCTGGGAGGCCGAGGCGGGTGGATCGCTCAAGGTCAGGAGTTCAAGACCAGCCTGAGCAAGAGCGAGTAGAAAGAAATTATCTAGACAA